CCCCCCCCCCCGCTGTGTTCGTGGCAGCCAGGGCCATGCACAGCGTTAGGCCTGACCGAGCCGACCGGCCTGGGAAGCAAAGCCCCATGCTCGGACCCCCGCGGGCTCGAGCGACGTGTTCTTCACCCGTGTCTCGACACAGGATTTGCCGTTTGCGCCTCGTGCTCGCCGTCTCCCCACTTGTGTGCAGGAAGACCAAGAGGACGCCTGGGAAGTGCCAGCCAAGGGGAGCTCATCCGAGAATATTTTCGGTGTCCCTCACAGAAGCATTTCTCTTATCTGCGACCCTTTTCTGCACCTTCTTGTCCCCCAGGCTTTCATTGGAGACTTGTGGCAGGCTACCGTTGGACCACTCGGTCTTCTGACGAGAAGGTTCAGCCGTGCCGGCTGCTGAGCGGTTGGGTGTTCCTGGCACGGTTCTGGCTTACAGCAAGGACTCTGCTGGGCGGCACCCGAGGGAGCAGTGCAGGCTGGCACGCAGACCGGGCGCAGCTTTTGGGGAGAGAGTTACCATGTGTGGGCAGAAACTTGGTCGTGCCGCGGGGTGTCAGGATCGAGGGGTGGTGGTCTTGGCGTGCACGTCTCCAGGGGGACCTCTCTCGGGGCTGGGCGGGTGGCCAGGCCACGGCTGCAGGCTGACCTCTCCGTGGTGGAGCAGCGCCTGGGCTGCTTCGTGCAAACGGCCCAGCCCCGTGGCTGGCACAGGTCGGAGTCCGGCGTGCACGGGGGGAGGTGGTCCACGCCAGTGCACACTGCTGTCCCGTTCAGCACCCCACGCTGACACGGGTGTCTAAGCAAGAACCCTGGTGGCTCTTGTGATCCCTATAACAAGAATCCCTGTAGTGGCACAGGCGTGGTCAGGGACAGCGACAGAGTGGTTTGCCTGTTCGAGCCGTCCCTCCTTTGCCTAGGGCGGGAGGGTGTCGCGTGTACCTGCTCCACCTTCCGCAGTCACAGTCGCAAGGCTGCTTGAGGCCGAGCATCCTGCATTGGGAGAACAAGTGGCCTTACCCGGGGGGACGGGCAGGGAGGAAGGGGAGTGTGACACTGGATGCCTGGAAAGCCGCAGGCGTGTGTGGGGAGGTGGAACCCGCCGTCACGAGCACGCCTGAACAGAGCGTCTCGTCACTTAGATGAGAACATATTGTGACTGGTGGGCATGGAGGCTAAGAATATGTTAAAGGTGTAAGCGATGCGTGGGTGTAGATACAGAGAGAGTAAACACTTCTCATAATCTGTAAAGTGTTACTCTTAATATAAGAGTCCAAGAAGTGCTTTGAGTAGCAAAGGTGCCGGTGCCTCAATAAGCCATCGGTATGGCATTGGTGTGGAGTGGGAGCCCAGGCAGGCCTTGGCAGGAGGAGAGAGACACCACGGACAGGTTACGGGGGAAGCATGCCATGGCAGAAATAAGGCTGGTTGTCAGCTTCCGTGTCGGCTCCAGCATTTGGGTTGGTTAGCTCTCTGATGGAGGGGGTGGTCACGTGGATGCTGAGTCCCAGCTTTTGGATCCACCCCCTTAGGCTGCGTTGCAGCGCGTGTGCGCGCGGCTCACACCAGGATTGTCCTCGCAGCCTCCATCGCGGCTTTTTCCAACTTTGGGTATCTTAACTTTGTAATAAAGATGTTTTTTTCCTTTACTGCATTTTTGTAATCCAGTTAGAAGGCCCGTCCTTTTCTGAAGAGCAGACCTTCTGCTCTTTGTCTTGTCGACAGGTTTGTACCCTCGGTCTGGTGAGGGACTGGCCCAGCTGAACAGCGTTACTCTCCGAGCGAGCCTCCCGGGTCAGGAGGTGGGAGGCACTGTTGGCGGGGAAGGTGCTTGGCTGTTTCCTGGGCACTTGGGACGTGCTGGGGTGTAGGAATAAGGCACTTTTTTCAACAGCCGGTGGATGTG